ATTCCTACTGGCGCCGGCCCCGGGCATCGTGGACGATGACGCACCTGGACGCGATCACGCTCGGTGCCGCGCCCTGCCCGAGAATCCCGTCCAATCAGCCCCCGCCGATGGGCCGAAGGCGGTGGCGATGCACGGCGGCAGTGCACGCCGCGCACCAGACGCAAGCCTCGCCACGGCCCGGCTCATTTCACCCCCGTTTCGCGGCCTCCAACAGCAGACAGCCATGGCATGGAATCTGCAAACGCCTGTGCAAGGACACTCCATGAACCTGACTGATCGCACCATCGAGGAGATGCTGGGCTGCGCCGACCAGCCGGCCGAGGCCCTGCGCTGGCGCGGCGCAACGCAGTACGACGGCTGGCGCGAGCCGCTGAAGTCCGGCCAGGGCTTTCGCCACCGCTACGACCAGGACGTCGGCGACGGCGGCTGGGAGTTCCATCAACTCAACGACGCGCTGTCGGTCGCGGTGGTCGACTTCCGCGCGGCCTGCCCGATCTCGCGGTCGCACCGGCACGACGACCACCTCGTGTTCTGCGCCATGCTCGAAGGCCGCAGCACGATCTCCGCCGGTGACGACCCGGTCGGCGACGACCTCGCGCATGGCTTCTGCACCTTCTTCGGCCTGTCGCGCGGCGACGCCGTGCACACGGTCTACGAGGCCAACCGCCCGCTGCGCTACGTGTCGATCTTCCTGCGCTGCGACAAGATGCGCGACGTGCTGGGCATCGACGTCGACGCCCTGCCCCCGATCTTTCGCGACTACATCCTGCACCGCACGCCCATCGGCCTGAGCCACGTGCCACTGGGCAGCGGCGCCAGCATCGCGGCCACGCAAGTGTTCGAGTGCCCCTACGAAGGCGAACTGCGGCGCCTGTACCTCATCGCCAAGGCGCTGGAGATCGCCTGCTCGGTGATCCAGTCACATGCCGAAGACGCCGATGCCAACGGCCCCGGCCTGCGGCGCAGCGACATCGCCAAGCTCAAGCTCGCGCGCCAGCTCATCGAGACCAACCTCGACGAGCCGCTCAGCGTGGCCGACCTCGCGTGCACGGTCGGCATGACGGTCAAGAAACTGCAACACGGCTTCCAGGTGCTGTTCCGCGGCAGCGTCGGGCAGGTCTACAAGCAGGTGCGCCTGTCCAAGGCGATGGTGCTGGTCAGCAAGAGCGACATGTCGATGCTCGACATCGCCATCGAGTGCGGTTACGAATGCCCGGGCAGCTTCGCGCGGGCCTTCAAGCTGGCCTACGGTTCCAGCCCCACGCTGGTCCGCACGAGCACGCTGCCACGCAACCTGGCCGAATCGCAGTTCGCCCACGCGGTCTAGGTTCCCGACGCTGGTGCTAGTGGCGGCCCCAGCCCTTCATGCGCCGGGGCACATGGCGCTGCAGGCTGGTCGGGTGGCGTTGCAACGCCTGCTCGACCTGCGTGCCCGCCGTGCCGCGCAGTTGCGCGTCCAGGAAGGCAAGCACCAGGTCGCTGACGGCCGACAGCGCTTCTTGGCCGTCGATCTCGCCGACGCGGGCATCGCGCTTCTCGCCGGCCAGCAGCGCGACGAAATCCGTGAACCCCATGTGCCGGCTGCCCACCAGCCGCACGCGCACGACCGACGGGTTGGCGCCCGCTGATTTCCACGGCTCGTAGGCCAGGTCGTTGGGGCTGAAGTCGGCGTCGCGCGACTGGCCCTTGAACAGGCCGTAGCGCGTC